ATATCGGATATCGGCCAAAATCCCAATATCGTGCATCCCTAGTTTTTTACCTTAAAAAATTTAAATAATTGGTCAATCTCAATTTAAAAAGAAACATTCAGTCAGTCTGTCCCATTTTTGTTTCCTAAAAAAAATGTATACAAAAAAAAAAAAAATCATTATGTTTTTCATAAGGAAAAAAATACTGGTCAAAGTCTATTATAAAAAAAAAAAAAAAAATTCTCTTTTTTCAAATTTTTTATGGTGTTCAGTTTCTCAACAGTGATATCGTACCATCAGTGATGTAGTCGCGCCGGGTGGCCGTATGACTCCCGATTGCCATAATTAAACATAGATACAAAAATAAATGAAGGACTTAATAATATAAAATTGAACAAGTAACAAAAAAAAAACACTTGCAATAAATACATAAACATAAAACAATGACTTCAATAAAATGTATCACAGAAAATAAGTGGGTTAAAAATCATAAGTGAGCATAAATACAAAAATAAAAGTAAAAATATATATTTTTTAAATAAATAATTGATCAACTGTTGAAGAAATATCTTATTTTTATTGTTTTATCACATTTAATGACACACAAATTCATATTATTAGCTATTTTTCCAATAAATTTTATATGATCAAGTCCTTCCTTATTTCTATATGTATTTTTAATTATGGCAGGATTGGTGCTCCATACCCCCACATGCTAAATAAGGGTTTCTAAAACCTACGTTCCAAGATGAACTCTGAGTTTCTTTTACAGTTATCTCAATATTTCAGTTTGTAGCATATTTGCTACATTAGGCCGTCGTGCTAATGCTAAGTCCTAACAGCGCTGAAAAGAAACAAGGACTAATTTTCTTTAGTAAACCGAGTTAATTTGTTTAAGAGTTTTCACTAATTTTCATAAAAACATGCTGGGATATAAATGCCAGGTCCTTGTTGACTAAAATGTAACTAATATCCGTTTTTAAAATTTTATGTTATTCATTTTCCACTGATAATATTTACTAGTTTTATTATCGTCACTTTTGAACATTATGCATCTTTTTGCAAGTATTTTTTGCTCAATAGTTAAAGTAGTGATTTAATCTTGCATCGACCTAAAAGGCAAAAAACATTTCAATATATAAATGTATGTAAATTTAAACTGAATAGAAAAAAACCTCATGTTTAAGAATGAAAAGCGTGTTTGTTTTTCTGCACATCATACAAAACATTTATTTTTTCCCCAAAAATACAGAAGAAGAGCCAAAGAAAGAGCGCTGGGATGAGAAAAAAGACCCTCCTCCTCATCTTCAGTTAACCAAGCAGGCAAATGTAAGACGATCCCGTTTGAAAACAAAAGCTAAACTTTTAAAATAAATAAAAATGAATGTTTTTTTTTTTCCTCACAGCCATTCCTGTGCTGATGTCTAGACGGCATGAAGGGAGTTTCTCCTCCCTTTCTTCCTACTTCCTGGATGGAAGAAAGTCTCTAACGAGCGATAAATGACGAGGATTTCAACACAGACCCAGAGGATGGAATATTCCAGAAGTACCTGCTGCAGCAGAGGATTCCTATACTTAACATAAGTAAAAACATTTGTTTGGACATTTTTCTGGTTTGTTTCTTAGCCATAAATCCAATAAGCGTCTGAAAAACTTTTACTTTGAATGATTCAAATGAGCTGCTGGGGGGGGGGGCGGAGCTGCAGAGACGATTCGCTCAGTTTCTCAGAGTCGACTCGGCTGCAGAAACAATCGGTAGTTTTCTGACCTCGTCAGAAATTCCTGCCCCTCCAAGTGCTTCCGCAGTCTCATCCTCGTCCTGAACACGCACGCGTCTCCGAAATCAACTCAATAAATAAGACGTTAGCGTTGTAAGGCAATGCTGAGCAAACGTTTGGTGAACATTCACGCTCCTCCGCTCGGGGTTCAAGGCCTTCCAGGTGATCTCCTGATGGACAGGGCTCGGCCTCCTCGGGGCCGCTCGGCGCGCCGCGCTCAGCGGAGGAGGAACACGAACCTCTGGTTTCCTTCAGGAGGAGTCAAAGGTCGTAGCAGCACGGCCCCGCCCCGCGCCTCAGGACAGTCCCGACGTTTCCAGGTAACTCTGCAGCTTCCGAACCGTGCTTCTGTCCAAGGAGCAGAGGTCAAAGTCAAAAGTAGTGTTGGTGATGTGGAAGTGCCCCGTCTCCTCGATGAGGTTCACGATCTGGAAAACCACAAGAAACAGCAGCTGAGCGCAGCAGGACTTGGTCGTTATTTTAACCGACCTGGAAGCCGATTGGCCGCTCACCAGAGGTGGAAAAAGTACTAAAATATCATA